CTCTTTAGACTCCACCCCCTGCATTGCTAGGAGCGTGATCTGTTCGATGCTGTCTGTAACTTGACTTTCCAGACACCACCAGCAGCAAGGAGGACAGGTGAGGGTCCTGTGTGGAGAGAGAAGAGTGGTCCCATTCCTGCAAGGATATCCGTCTTTTAGCTGGCAAAACAGGCAGCTCGGCGATGGGACGCAGAGAGGGTATGAATTGGAAGGGTCTGTTGGATTGGAAGGGCCCATTGGCATCAGCATTGTGGAACAATAGTCTCGAAACTCCGTGGAGGAGACAGTCAGGGCACCGCTCAAGGACTTCCTGCCACATGCAGGAGTCCATGGAGGGGGTGGGGTGACTGCCCTGGGTCACAGCAGTTGAGGGTGCACAGGGTAAAAGACCCCTGCCACCACCCCCAGTGGCCCTCAGGTGCTACTGATGGGAGGTGGCCCCACAGTTGGGAAATGTGAGTGAAAACCTGGGCTGGCTTCACACGTGTGTGACTTTGGTTTCATATAAACGGAATCATTTTATATGTGGTCTTTTGTGACTGGCTTCTTTTACTTGGCATAATACTTAGTTTGATGCTCTATTGTCACTGTCTTAGAATTTTTAACTTAGTTTACCTTAATTAATTAATTAATTAGTTAATTTGGAGATGGAGTTTTGCTCTGTTACCCAGGCTGGAATGCAGTGGTGCCTTCTCAGCTCACGGCAACGTCTGCCTCCCAGGTTCAAGCAATTCTCACGCCTCAGCCTCCCAAGTAGCTGGGACTACAGGCACCTGCCACTACGCCTGGCTAATTTTTGTATTTAGTAGAGATGGGGTTTCACCATGTTGGATAGGTTGGTCTGGAACATTTGACCTCAAGTGATTTGGCTGCCTTGGCCTCCCAAAGTGCTAGGATTACAGACATGAGCCACTGCACCCAGCCAAAACGTTTAATTTGATCTTTTCATGTGTGTTTTGGAAGTGAAGTCTCCTGGGGCAATGGAACTTACATGTGCACAGTGGAGGTACGCCAAGCGTCCAGGCACTGAACAATGACCAGGCAGCCAGGGACACTGTGGAGTCCCCAGGTAGCCAGGTCAGGACCTGGGCCTTAATCAGTGGTGACAACAGGGGCTGCTGCAACGGTGGTGATGGTGGCAGTGGCTGCAGCCATGAGAAAATGGGGAGCTTCACATGGGGACATCACCAGGACATGGAGGTGGGGAGCCGGTTGCCTCTCTGTCTCCAGAGCCCATCCCTGCAGCATCCGCACAAATGCTAACTCTCTGGCCTGAGCCCTGGGACAGGAACCACACGTGACTGGGCAGTCAACTTTGTCAGTAAATTATTACAAAAGAAAAGGATACACATAGGTATTGCAGTAAAGCATACCAGGAAGCAATTAGAATTTTTGGTGTGTGGACTCTCCAGTTTTTTAAACTACTGAAACACTACAAAGCAAATATCCGCAGGCTTAGAAATTAAAAGTCATTGCATTCAACTGTTTTCATGAAACGATATGGAGGCAGCTTCAATGCATATTACTAAGTGAAAGAAGGCAATCTGAAAAGAGCTATACATACTGTAAACCTAAAACTGCTCTACAAAAATATAGCCTAATTGGGGGCAAAAACAAGCAAACAAAACACCTAAACAGACACATACCAGAAAAATGTGTACAGACGGCAAAATAAGCCTATGAAAGAACGATCAACATCATATGTCACTGGAGAATTGCAAATTAAAACGAGATACCACTACACACCTGGAGTGTGTGGCAAAAATCTAAACACTGACAATGACAAGACCAAATGCTGGTAAGGATGAGGAGCAACAGACACTCTCATTCGTTGCTGGTGGAAATACAAAATGGTACAGCTATGTCGGAAGACAGTTTGGCAGTTTATTGCAAAATGAAACATACTTTTACCATATGATTCAGCAATCGCGCTCCTTGGTAGTTACCTAAATAATTTCCACACAGAAGTCTACACATAGAGGCCAGGTGTGGTGGCTCACGCCTGTAATCCCAGCACTTTGGGAGGCTGAGGTGGGTGGATTACCTGAGGTCAGGAGTTCGAGACCAGCCTGGCCAACAGCAAAATCCTGTCTCTACTAAAAATGCAAAAATTAGCCGGGTGTGGTGATGGGAGCCTGTAATCCCAGCTACTCAGGAGGCTGAGGCATGAGAATCGCTTCAACCTGGGAGGAAGGAATTTGTGCATAAGTTTGGGCAAGATCCAAGATGCCAGGTTGAAGATGAATGCATCTGAGAACAGGTTAGTTTCTGTTTGGTTTCCTTTGGATGTTGGAGTCTTAGTAAAATGAGTCTGTAATCACTACCACTACTGCCTTCATTAATATGGGCTAGGCACTGTGCTAAGCTTTTACATGTATTACCTCTTTTCATTCTTATAACAATCATAAAATGCAGTAATTTTCCTTATCTACCTTGTACAAATAAAAAGTGGAGACACAGAGAGATTAAACAGGCTGTCAGAGGAGAATGCCCAGCCATTAAACTGTAGAAAAGGAATTCAAACACGGGCATTCTGACTCCAAAACATTTACTCGTAACAAGTACAAAAAGCAGTTAGTTACATAGAAAGCTATATCTTAGAATTTTTATACAGAACTGCCAGTAAAGGCAAGGCAGCTTTAGGACCTCACCAGAGTAAAACACGAGAGGCGGGGACAGAGGAGATGGTGTAGTCGGGGGAAGATTTATTCCAGGAGTGCTAGTGATAGAGGAAAAAGAATGCCTGGATAAAACACCCCTGTGAAAATGCACTTCACAGCCTTCCTGAACCCGGAAATGTCCAGCAGTACAATGACACACACAGCAAATCAGAGGCCTCTATTGTGATTCTGACACTGTGACTCCACTGTGCCCTCCAAGTTAGCGTGATCCAGGGAAACACCTGTGGTTGCATTGAGCTGAGACTGAGCCATTGCACTCCCGCCTGGGCAAGAAGAGCGAAACTCTGTCTCAAAAAAAAAATTCTTAAATGAGTCTTTTTCTTTCAGTACTTTGAATATAACATTCCACTGCCTCTACTACCCATGGTTTTTGATGATAAATCAGCTTTTAATTTTGTTGAGAAATTCTTGAATGTCATGAGTTGCTTCTTTCTTATTTTTAAGATTATCTATCTTCACTTTGGATGTTTATCATGTGTATAAGTGTGCATCCCTTTGAGTTTATTCTACTCAGGGTTCATTAAGCTTCCTGGATACATAGATGAATTTTTTGCTCTTGTTGCCCAGGCTGGAGTGCAATGGCATGGTCTCAGCTCACCGCAACCTCCACCTCCTGAGTTCAAGTGATTCTCCTGCCTCAGCCTCTCCAGTAGCTGAGATTATAGGCATGCACCACCATGCCCAGTTAATTTTGTATTTTTAGTAGAGATGGGGTTTCTTCATGTTGGGTCATGCTGGTCTCAAACTACTGACCTTGGATGATCCACCCGCCTTGGCCTCCCAAAGTGCTGGGATTACAGGCGTGAGCCACCGAGCCCGGCCAAGATGAATGTTTTTCACCAGATTCGGGAAGTTTTCAGCCCTATGTCTTCAAATAATTCTTTTTCCCTTTTCTCTTTCTTTTTATCTTCTGAGATTTCTATTATGTATATGTCAGTATGCTTGATGATGTTCTACATATCACTGAAGCTCTTTTCAGTTTTCTTCATTTTTTAAAAAATTTAAGACCTTTATTAACAGGTGCTTGTAGTTTGTTGACTTTTTTGAAAAAATCAAGTTGTAAACCTTTATTACAAATTATAAATGAAGTTCTTAAAAATCTCCACATGACCAGATATGAAACAATTTAAAAACCTTTAAAGACATATTGAGAAAAACCAGGTGTTTTTTAAAAAAACACATTTGTTATTACCAAAAAGAGACATCTTTAGGTAAAAATAATAAAAACTCCATGCTGCATAGATAATGCAGATAGTTCTATTTACCTGGTCGACAGGCAAAAAGCAAGCACTTAAGGTCTTCAGCTCCAATCTTTTGTTCATTTCTCATTGCTGGGATTTGTTACTTCCTCTTGTTGGATGACTAAACTGGATGATGGTAGAGATGGTAAGCCGGCATTTACTCAGCCCTGCCCTGCTCAGCCTCGGGAGCAGATGAATTCTCAGCTGGTGGATCAGCTGTTTTTGTGTCTTTGCCATCTTGTGGTTTCGAGTTTTCTGGGCATCTGTGTGTTTCTTACACTGGATAATCTCAAGTAACCAACCTTCAGTTTGGTGATTCTTCCTTCTGTCTCAAATTTGCTGTTAAGACAATCTAATGACTTTTTCATTTTAGTTATTGTAAATTTTAACTCCAGAATTTCTATTTGCTTCTTTTAAAAAAGTAATTTATATCTATTGACATTCTCTGTTTAGTGAGACATCACTCTCATACTTCCCTTTAGTTCTTTAGACATGGTTTCCTTTAGTTGTTGAGGACATATTTTAAATAGCTGACTTAAAGTATTTTTTGTAAGTTAAACATCTGGGCTTACTGGTGGACAATTTCATTGATTGCTCCCTTCTTGCACATGAGTCATACTTTCTTGTTTCTTGGCATGTGCTGTGGTTTGAATGTGTCCCCCCAAATCGATGTGTTGGAAACTTAATCTCCAATGCAACAGTGTGGAGAGGTGGAAACTTTAAGAAGTGATCAGGTCACAAGGACTTTGCCCTTACGAATGGATTAACATCATTGTAATGGGAGTGGTCAGTTACTATGAAGGCGAGTTTGTTATCAAAGTGAGTTTGGCCCCCTCTTGCTCTCTTATTCTCACTCTCTCTTGCCCTTCTGCCTTCTGCCTTGGGATAACGCCGTATAAAGTCCCTTACCAGATGCTAGCACCATGCTCTTGGACTTCCCAGCCTTTGAAACCATTAGCCAAATAAATTTCTTTCATTACTAGTCACCTGGTCTCAAATATTCTGTTACAGCAGCAAACAATGACAGCGTGGACTAAGCCAGCATGTCTTACAATGTTTGTTTGAAAACTACATTTCAAGCTTTGTGCAATGGCAGTATTGTAGCCAATGAGGTTTATCTGAGGCCCGATTATTGCTAACTGAAAACTTTTCCCAATGCCCCACCATGACAACTTGAATTATAGTCGGCATTGGCAATTTTTGACAGTCTCTACAGAGACTGAATTAAAAAAAAAAAAAGATTACATTGCAAATAGCACAATATGGCAACTCTAGAAAGTGGGTTCTCTCCCTCCCTAGAGTTTGTTATTATTGCTTTTGTGTATATTTTTGTTGTTTGTTTCTTTGTTTAGTGACTTCTCTGAATGAATTCTTTGTATTCTTTGTTGTGTGTAGCCACTTGAATTCCTGCTGAGTGAGCTTACTAGTCAGCTAATGATTACAGAGTGATTTCCTTAGACACTCGAAACCAATAAGCCTGTCGGTCTTTGCCAGTGGGCCATCTGTGTATGCTGGGCACACCTTTAGGACTCAGTCGGGCAGCTGACAACTCTCCTAGCCTTCACTTCCTCATTGTGCAGAGGTTTGAGGCCAGCAGAGGTCAGAGCTCAGGGCCTTGTCGGGTCTTTCTTGAGCATGCAGACAATGCTGGGCATGCGCACAGCCCAGCGTGGCCTTGTAGGATCCCAGGAATATGCAGGAGCTTTTCAAAGCCCCATTGACATCTTGCTCTCCAGCTTTTCCTTTTAAATGTTTTGACTAGCGTATTATTTCTGTTATCCACTGCTTTCGGAGGCTGCAAAGTGAAGCAATGGTTTTAAGTGTTTTTGACAAATGTCCCCAGCGTATCAGGTGAGCTCAGAGTCAGGTCAAATAAAGACAGTCTTGTTAGTAGGGTCTCTCAGGGAACCACCACCCAGCAGGTGAAACAATGACAATTCTCAAAGAATAAGCCCTTGAAGAACCCTAGCCCATTTTGTCCCCTCTGGTGGCTGCCAAGCTGCTGGGTTTCACAGTGATTGGGAGGCTGTTTTCAAGGCTAATACAAAGCCTGAGAAAGGGGTATGGGAATAGGGCAAGTGAAAATGCCATAAAGCTAGTTGTTCTTACCAAGATTCAGCCCTCTTCTTGAGTAAATGCTCCCTGGATTGCTACAACACTTTAATTTTCAGATTTCTGAGAAAAGTTGCTTCTATTCATTTTTGCCATTTTCTCATTGCTTTCTATGGAAGAATTTTCAGAGGTGCTCAGTCTGCTATTTTTGCTGACATCAACTCCCAGTAAGGTGGTTGGGTGTGGTAGCTCATGCCTGTAATCCCAGCGCTTTGAGAGACCAAGTCCTGGTGGATCACATGGTCAGGAGTTCAAGATCAGCCTGGCCAACACAGTGAAAGCCTGTCTCTACTAAAATACAAAGAATTATCCAGGCATGGTAGCTCATGCCTGTAGTCCCAGATACTTTGGCGGCTGAGGCAGGAGCATTACTTGAACCTGGGAGGCAGAGATTGCAGTGAGCCAAGATCATGCCACTGCATTCCAGCCTGGGCAATAGAGTGAGACTGTCTCAAAAAACAAAAACTTCCAGTGAGGAAATACTGGTCTAGTGAATGAATATCATCATATTCATCCCTGTGCTTCATGTGCCTTTCAATTGTCTTAACGCTTTGTATTAAGATAGCTCTGTTTCTCTGGAGGTCCTGCTGAGACCTCTAGCTGTGTGCCGCTGGCATTGAAACCCAGCACATTCACCATTCATATTTGTGAGCACACTCTTCAGACATCCTTCTGAATTATCCTTGTAGTTGTAAGTCATCTTGGAACAGTCTGCCCTTAAGGAACCAAAACCAATCAATGGAAAAAATGATCTCTCAATAGCTTTAATTAATTTCGTTTCATTAGTTTTGCACTTTCAGGCTCCTGTCACATAATTATTTATCAATTGTATTCATGACGGTTTCTTAATTTGTAGTAATTTTATCGCTCAGAGGATAATTGTTAATTATTTTCCCTATAATTATCATGGAAGAAAACAGGGCTCTTTAAAACTATGAAATTAAATTGGAAAGGAATTTCAAACAGCCACACTCCCCTTTGCCCTGACATCCCAGATGGCATCTGCGGTTTGTGTTTATAGTTATGCAAAATGGCAGATGTCAGGGAGCAAATATTTTCAGCATGTTAATAAGAGCGAATGCACTGCCACCTTCTGCATTGCGGCTGTGCACTGACACAGGATGCTGGTAACTCTCTCCGACAGAGCAGGCAAAAAGGCTCAGGTGTGCTCCTGGAGCGTGCAGTGTCTGGAGCAGTCAACGGAAAATCCAAACGCTGAAGATCTAGCGCCTACTCCACCAGAGACTCACTGTGTGACTTCGGCTGTGCTCCTTTTAGGAGACGGGGCTGTGAACTAGTAAGTAGAGAAGTAAGACTAGTGAGCAGAGAGCAACATCTCATTGATTCAGCAGCATCACCAGGGATGAGATAGGGCACATAGCACCATTCTCCAAATATCTGAAGCTTATGTTAAGCTCTGACATGTTAACTTGTATCAATTTTGAAGGAGGTTTCTCTAAAACATATCATATAGTCCTATTGTTTCTTAAAGTGAATGACATGGAACATAATTTCAACCTCCTGTTTAACCAACACAAAAAATACATAATAGGCCAAGCACGGTGGCTCACGCCTGTAATCCCAGCACTTTGGGAGGCCGAGGGAGGCAGATTACCTGAGGTCAGCCTGAAACCCCATCTCTACTAAAAATACAAAACCATTAGCTGGACATGGTGGCGGGTGCCTGTAATCCCAGCTACTTGGTAGGCTGAGGCAGAAGAATTGCTTGAACCTGGGAGGCGAAAGTTGCAGTGAGCTGAGATGGTGCCATTGCACTCCAGCCTGGGTGACAGAGCAAGACTCTGTCTCAAACACACACACACACACACACACACACACACACACACACACACACACACACAAAGACATACACAATAAAACAGATGGGACAAATAGGTAAATTTACTTCCAAATATATCAGTAATTACATGTAAATGGACTATCCATGTACTGTCTTCCCAACTTGACCACTGCCAGAATGGCCTGCATCTGCTGGAGGTGACATCACTCTACAGAGGCCTCTGGGCTTAACTTCTCTCCCAGAGGGCTGAGATTTAGTCTGTGGATTTGCAGGCCGAGTAGTCAGATACCGCTGGCCTCCTCTGGAATGTGTTCTTGGATGACTAGGCTTTCTCAACACAGCACGCAGTGTTTCAGGTCTGTTGCCGAATCTTCAGTACGATGACTCTGCAATCTTCTAGGTGAGGGGCGCCCTGCTACTCTCTGTTCAAGCCATGCTTCAGGTGGAGTGGAAAGGTGATGTGTCTGATTTCCAAATCCCTCGTGCCTGGGAGCGTTGATGATGACGGCAGCCATTTCAGTTCGTTAATTTTAGCTCCCTCTGCTGTTTCAGCAACATAGAGCATTAAAACAAAAAACTGCGAAAGAAAACCAAACCAATAACAACAAAAACAGCCTTAAGAACTCTTAAAGCGAGGAAAAGGAAAGAAACTGATTTGGGGCTGGAAAGTTTTTTAAAAGAAGCAATCTTTATATGAAAAACGAAACAAGAGCATATGAAATATACTTTTCTAAAATAGCTATTTTTTCTTTCACCAAGTCTTTTTGTCATTGTTAAAAATTATGTTTGTATTAACAAATATTACCAATCTGATCATTACAATTTATGTCTTGGGGTTATTGATTTATTCTTCAACAAATATTTATGATCTCATTATGTGCATGGTTCATGGGGCCGGGTGGTGTGGATATGCAGGTGAGAAAGAGAGTTGTTTAAATAATGCTCTTTAGCCAGGCACAGTGGCTCAGGCCTGTAATCCCAGCACTTTGGGAAGCCAAGGTGGGCAGATCACTTGAAGTCAGGAGTTTGAGACCAGCCTGGCCAACATGGCAAACCCCCATCTTTACTAAAAATACAAAAATTAGCTGGGTGTAGTGGCAAGCGCCTGTAATCAGTTACTCAGGAGGCTGAGACACGAGAATCGCTTGAACCAGAAAAGCAGAGGTTGCAGTGAGCTGAAATTGCACCACTGCACTCCAGGCTGGGCAACAGAGTGAGACCCTCTCTTTAAAAAAATACAAAAATTGGGCCAGGTGCGGTGGCTCAAGCCTGTAATCCCAGCACTTTGGGAGGCTGAGGCGGGTGGATCACAAGGTCAAGAGATCGAGACCATCCTGGTGAACAAGGTGAAAGCCCGTCTCTACTAAAAATACAAAAAGTTAGCTGGGCATGGTGGTGCATGCCTATAATCCCAGCTACTCAGGAGGCTGAGGCAGGAGAATTGCCTGAACCCAGGAGGCGGAGGTTGTGGTGAGCCAAGATCGTGCCATTGCACTCCAGCCTGGGTAACAAGAGCGAAACTCCGTCTCAAAAAAAAAAAAAAAAAAATACAAAAATTAGCCAGGCATGGTGGCACAAGCTTGCAATCCCAGCTACATGGCAGGCTGAGGCAGGAGAATCACTTGAACCTGGAGGTGGAGATTGCGGTAAGCTGAGATCACTCCACTGCACTCCAACCTGGGCGACAGAGAGAGACCCTGTCTCAAAAAATAAAAAAATAAAAAAAGCTCTTTAATTGTATAAAACTGTATGGGTTTATTCCTATTTTCATTGTCATAATCATTCCTTGGATAATAGATAAAAATCATCAATAAAGATGAATGCAATTTACTATAGATTTATTTAAAAAAAAATAAAACTCTTTAAAGTTTTGTCTCTGATCATAAAATCATTACAGGCAGTAGTGTGAACCTTGAAAACAAACTTGGGCAAGTGACCTAAACTTTCTGCGCCTCAGTTTTCTTAGTATAAATGGGATGTTGGCAACAATAACACTACTTCATATAGGATTATTGGAAATAATAAATGAGCTAAATCACTTTAAGTGCTTGAACTAATACCTGACACCTAGAGAACACAAAATAAATGTTAGTCATTATCTTCATTCATTTGTGAGTTCACTGAGCAGCTACTGTGTCTTTCCTATTCATACAAGCAAGCATACGATGACTTGATGCTTTGCTAATGTTCTCCATCATTTCCAGCAAACTTTCTAAAAGACACGTCTTCCATAATTGCCATCTCTGCTTCCCTACGGCTGGTTCTCACTTAAATCCTCTATACTCTGGATTCTGACTGTGGTCTCC